TGTGCCAAATCATGTTTCCTTCTCCAGAGTGCTTAATCTTCAATTAAATGAAGTCACATACTTCTTTAGATTTCCAAACTCTTTCTTTAGAAATGTAGTTTCAGTCTGTAAAGACTGTACCATTTCTAAAAATGCCTCATTCTTAACCCTATTGTCAAACCATTTTTTTTAAAGAAAAAAATATTGAGGAAAAAACTAATCCCCAGAATTAAGATTAATGATGTAGAAGGAACATCATGTAAGTCTTGTAAAACCTCACTCATGCTGTAGGTAAAGAGGCTAATTAAATCTTGGATGGTTAGGTTGTCTAACATATTGCCCTTTTAAATTAGCAATTTATAATCTATATTTAGGATATTAAATCTTTCCTGTGGTTTAATTAGCTGGATTAGGTGCAATAACTGTACCTGCCAGTAAGTGTCACAGACCACCTATAAAACTAACCCAGTGGGGTATAGCAGTGCACGTGGGTTCATGTGGCCGGTCTGAAATCTGATTTTAGAGCGAAATGCTGAAAGATAAACCACAGACTGTGTGCTCTGTGGATGTCTTTAGAGCAGTGGAATAGGCAAATGCAAACAAATTGTTAGAAAGCCACAGAACAGTTGGCTCAGACCAGGGAAGCCCGCGTCTCACCCAGTTTTCTGTGGTGCACCCTGGCGGGAGACAAGCAATAAGATGCATGGGGACTTGACACCAATCTAAGGAGTATAAAAGGAAAATATAAAGAATTGCAGCTGATCCTTAGCAAGAAAAGCTGCTGCACAAGATTCTATATTGAACTACTGGCTTCACCCACAGGTCACGGCCACTGAGGGAGGGTTTGTGCCAAGCTGGGCGAAGTCTGAGCTGGCGGCAGGCAGCCAAGCTGGGGGTTTCTAAAACCAAACATTGGGTGCCAGAATGAAGGCATCAGTTATAAAACAATTCCGCACCAGTTTGGAATTATGATCAATAAAAGGGTTATTTATTTAGGGGGAAAAACAGATCACTGTCCAAGAAAGCAGCCCTCAGAGTGACCAGGAACAGAGCCTAGCAGCTGGAAGCAGGAGCTGAAAGCGAGAGAGAGAGAGAGAGAGAGAGAGAGAGAGAGAGAGAGAGAGAGAGCAGGGTTAATGCTGCTTTTTAAAGCAAAAGAGACCATGCCCAAGTGGGCTGATATCTTAAAGGCTATTTGCTGAAGGAGTAGAAAGAGCTCCCATAGCAGATCCTAGGAGATGTGTTATCCACTAAAAGTCAGGATAGCACTGTACTTAGACATATGTGAGTGTGAGTGTTCATGTGCCATGAAATATATGTGGAGATCAGAGAATAAGTTTGTGGACTTGGCTCTCTCCTTGGAACATGATGTGGGTTCTTAGATAGAACACAGGCCTGACAAGTGCTTTTATCTGTTGATCTAGCTCCCAACCCCACACATCTCTCTACCCTCACAGGATGTGATGGTTTCTTGTTATCTTTCTTCTCCTTTTCCATAACAACCCAATGAACACAGCTGCCTAGAAGCTGTGTATGTGAAGGGCTTCATAGACCCTTGAAGATGTGCCTCAAATTCAAGTACAACCACCAGGATGGAGAAGGACAAAAATTGGGGGAGGGGAAAGAGAAGAGAGAGGCTCCTCACCTCCACATCTAATTGAAGTTACTTACCTGCTGTGTAATAATCCTTTTTGTACACTTTGAAGATGCATTCTTCTTATTGATTTAATAAAGAGCCAACTGGCCAATAGGTAGGCAAAAAGAGTTTAGGCAAAAGAGCGTGACTGAGAACTCTGGGAAGAAAGAGGGCGGAGTCACTCACCAGTCAGATATAGAGGAAGTGGGAAAAGAACATGCCATGCTGAAAAAAGGTACCATCACATGGTAGAACATAGATAAGAAATATGGATTAATTTAAGTTGAAAAGTCTAGTTAGTAACAAGCCTAAGCTATCAGCTGAGCATTTGTAATTAATCATATGTCTAAAAACCCTACAACAGCAAGACCTGAACAACCAAATATGGATGAACTAGAGGAAAATGATCTAAAAAATAACCTCAAGAGAATATTTGATTCTTAAAAATAAAATGAGAAATTCCCTTAAAGAAATGGAGGAAAAAACAAACAAAAATTGGAAGATATCAGCAAATCACTTAAAGAAAACAAAGAAAAAGAAATCAAACATATAAAAGAAACTATCCAGGACTTGAAAACTGAAATAGAAACAATAAAAAAAAACACAAGCCGAAGGAATTATAGAAACAGAAATCATGAGAAAAAGATCAGGAACCACAAATGCAAGCATGAACAGTAGAATACAAGAAACTGAAGAGAGACTCTCAAGCACTGAAGATACAATAGAGGAAATAGATTCATCAGTTAAGAAAATTTTAAATCAAACAAAAGCTTAACCCAAACTATCCATGAAATATGGGACACCATGAAAAGGCCAAATCTTAGAATAATAGGTATAGAAGAAGGAGAAGAAGTTCAACTCAAAGGCACAGAAAATCTATTTAACAAAATCATAGAAGAAAACTTTCCCTACCTAAAGAAAGATATGCCTATGAAGATACAAGAAGCTTACAGAACACCAAATAGACTGGACCCCAAAAAAGTCCTCTTGCCACATAATAGTCCAAACACTAAACATAGAGAGTAAAGAAAGAATATTAAGAGCTGCAAAGGAAGAAAGTCAAGTAAGATTTAAAGGAAGACCTATCAGAATTACACCTGACTTCTCATTGGAGACAATGAAAGCCAGAAGGTCATGGTCAAGCATTAAGCAGACATTAAGAGACCACGGATGCAAGCACAGACTACTATACCCAACAAAACTGTCGATCACCATAGAAGGACAAAACAAGATAGTCCATGACAAATCTAGATTTCACCAATACCTAGCCACAAACCCAGCCCTACACAAATTACTAGAAGGAAAACTCCAACCCAAGGAAGATGACTACACCAACAAAAATACAGACAATTGATGATCTCATAACAGCAAATCCTAAAGAAGAAAAAAAATGCACAAATTTAACATTGCCAATGATGAAAACTAAATTAACAGTAGATAGCAACCACTGATCATTAATATCCCTTAATGCAAATGAACTCAACCCACCTATAAAAAGGCACAGGCAACAGATTGGATATGAAAATAGAATCCATCCTTCTTCTGCATACAAGAAACATCTCAACCTCAAAGACAGATATTGTCTCAGAGTGAAGGCTTGGGGAAAATATACCAATTAAATGGACCTAAGAAACAAGCGGGTGCAGCTATCCTAATATCTAACAAAGTAGACTTCAAGCTAAAATCAGTCAAAAGAGACAAAGAAGTTCATTTCATATTAGTCACAGGAAAAATCCATCAAGAGGAAATTTTAATACTGAACAGATGCTCCAAATACAAGGGCACCATCATATGGCAAAGAAACACTTCTAAAGCTTAAATCACACATTAAACCCCACACACTAATAGTGGGAGACTTCAACACTCCCCTCTCACCACTGGAAAGGTCAATCAGACAAAAAATGAACAGAGAAATAACTAACAGATGTTATGACTCAAGTGGACTTAACAGACATCTATAGAATATTCCATCCAAACAGAAAAGAATATACCTTCTTCTCAGCACCTCATGGAACCTTCTCAAAAACTGACCACATATTCAACAAAACAAACCTCAACAAATACAAAAAAATTGGAATAACCCAATGTACCTTATCAGATTACCATGCTTTAAAACTAGAAGTCAACAGCAATACTAATTCCAGAAAATCCACAGACACATTGAAATTAAACAATGCTCACCTGAATCATCAATGGGTAAAGGAACAAATAAAGGGGGAAATCAAAGACTTCCTAAAATTCAATGAAAATGACCACACAACACACCTAAATTTATAGGACACAGTGAAAGCAGTGTTAAGAGCAAGTTCATAGCACTAAACGCCTACATAAAGAAGCTGGAAAAATCCCACACTAGTGAATTAAGAGAACATTTGAAAACTTTAGAACAAAAAGAAGCAAACTCACCTAAGAGAACTAGACGGCAGGAAATGATCAAATTGAGAGCTGAAATCAACAAAATAGAAACAAAGAAAACAATACAAAGAATCAATGAGACAAAGAGCTGGTTCTTTGAGAAAATCAACAAAATGGACAAACCTTTATCCAAACTAACCAAAAGGCATAGAGAGAATATCCAAATTAACAAAATCAGAAATGAAAAGGGGGACATAACAACAGACACAGAGGAAATCCAGAGAATCATCAGGTCATATTTTGAAAACCCGTACTCCACAAAATTGGAAAACTTAAAGGAAACAGACAACTTTCTGGATAAATATCACTTACCAAAATTAAATCAGGATCAGATAAGCAAATTAAGCAGACGTATTACTGCTAAAGAAATAGAAACAGTCATCAAAAGTCTCCCAACCAAAAAAGCCCAGGACCAGATGCTTTCAGCTCAGAATTCTACAAGATTTTCAAAGAAGAACTAATACCAATACTCCTCAAATTACTCCACACAATAGAAACAGAGGGAACATTGCCAAACTCTTTTTATGAGGCTACAATTACCCCGATAATCTCTGCAGAGATTTGGGTATGCCAAGAAATTTGATTTAAGAAAGGCGATTGCTGCCTGCCTGTGACCTCAGCACCTGGGGGTGTGAAACAGGACACTCAATTCTAAGTCAGCCTGGGTTTTCACATCCTAGGATCTGTTCTTAGAAAGGAAAGGGAAGGAGCAAGGGACAGAAAAAGCAAAGGGGAGGGGAGCAGAGGGGAGGGGAACGGAGGGGAGGAGAATAGAGGGGAATGGAGGGGAGGGGAATGGAGTGGAATGGAGGGGAGGGGAACGGAGAGGAGGTAAAGGGAGAGAAAGGAAGGAAAGGGAAAGGAAGGAATTCCTACCAGTAAAAACAAAACCAGAAACAAACCAAAGCAAGAAATCTCTGGATTCCCACATCCTACTGATTCGGTTCTTTCTTGTCATCCTCAGGGAGACGCCACTGTCTACTACTTTGTCCTAGATGTGAAAGAATCTGACTGTTGGGTCCTATCCACAAAATCCCAGAATGACTGTCTTGAAGCTTCGCGGCCATCTGAAATCGTAACTAGGACCGCTGCTCTTCTTTCTTCTATCCACTCCGCTCACTCAGTGGAGCCACATGGAGGCTAGAAAAAGCTGCTTATGCCTTTAGAGCCATGAAGATGATGTCAGCCTTAAGTAGTACTCTCTTAAGAACCATTCTCGGGAACCCCGTGAATGTAAGTCGGCAGGGCTTGTGGCCTCCCCAGGATAGTATCAGTAGCTATGAGCCTTGGGCAAATCCCCAATCATCTTAGACTTCAGTCTCCTCAACTGGAACTCCCATATCATTTCCAGACCACACAATCTATGAATGTGTGAACTGGGAACTGTGTGCCATGAAGAGTGGTCCGTCCTTCTGTTAGCAGTGACAGCCATGGCTGCAGCGAGGAAGACGGCCTTGCTGTGCATGCTGGCCTTGGTTACTGGGGCCAGTCTCCCTGTCACAGGGGAGAGCACAAGGGAATTAGCAGACATGGGATGTCAGGGCCAGAAGAGAGAGTTTTGCTCATCGAGGGGCCCTAGTTCTGTCTCCTTTAAATGTTTGGGAAGTGGTCACAATCCATTTAAACAGTTGCTCTCGCCAGGGGTTTGGCGTGCCAACGGTGTGCAGCACACGGAGCAGGCTGAAAAGGCCGCTCTGGGCCAAGACAGATGGACGAATCCCCAAATACATATTAAGTGAGGCGGTGTAACACGGCCTTGGTATTCTGTCATTGGCCGTCTGTGCACACGGTTCCATAAGGGCTTAAAATCGTCTTGTTTTGCAGGTGATTGGACAATGTAAGGTCATAGCTACGAGATACTCTAACGACTCTCAGGACTGCAGAGTGAACCACTATAACTGCACCACGAGCTCTGGTAAGGTCGTCTGCGGAATTGCTCATTCCAGATTAACAGAACTCCATCATACGGCGGTGTTCGTAACAGAACACGTGATAGCCAACAGAGAGGCCGCTGCCCTTCCCTTCTCCATTCGCACTCACTCTGCTGAAATAGACGACATCCCCACCCCGGTAGATGCCATTTAAAGAGATTTGCTATGTACACATAGAGACGTAAAGAGGCGGTACACACACCATTTAGCTGTGAGTTTCAGCCGGCCTGAGCTTAAGTTCAAACTTCATTATATGCCGGTTGTCTCAGAGTCAACACTGTTGGAATGGAATCATGTCTTCATTGTGTCTAGATTTTGTTTCCAAGGTCATGAGCTTCTGCCACTGAACTTCTGCCAGTCCAGATACTTCATCTCGAAAACAACTGTGGCTTGGGAAGCAGGTTATGTAACCTCTTTAGGCTTTTCTCATGTAGGATTCTGGTTGGAATCAAATAAAATGAGTCGTCTTCACAGAATCCCTAACACTTGATAGGAACTGGCTTTGATAGTTAGAAGTTCTGTATCACTCCATGGTGTACAGAGTAGTTATATATTCTGTTATGTCATGCATTGGTCATTTTCTTTAACCTCACACAAGGCTATGAAGTAATCATCATAAAACTTTCTATTTTAGAGATAAAAATAACTGGATCTGGCAAAGATCCAATGTGTATTCTCAGAAGTGCATGGAGACGTTGTAGAAATGACTATAGCTATATCTCTACAGCGTTGATTCCAGAGTCCAGACTCCTATTTATTTTTCTGAAAGAATTAGTTTCAGAAGGACAGATTTTAGCATGATTGAACGTAGGCAACAACCCAACAGCTTCTATAGGAAGTTGTTTAAAGAAAGAAAGAAGCAAGGCATGGTGGTATAGGCCTGCCCTCCCAGCAGGCAGGAGGCCAAGGTGTGAGTTTGAGGCCAGTTTGAGAGTCTGAGAGTGATTCCCTGTGGTTGGAAAGACAGGAGAGAGCTGGGCGGTAGTGGTGCACACCTTTAATCCTAGCACTTGGGAGGCAGAGGCAGGTGGATCTCAGTGAGTTTGGAGCCAGCCTGGTCTACAGAGTGAGTTCCAGGAAAGCCAGGACTACACAGAGAAATCCTATCTCGAAAACCAAAAAAAAAAAAAGAAAGAAAGAAAGAAAGAAAGAAAAGAAAAGAAAGAAGAAAGGAGAGAGAGAGAACACAAGAAAAAGGCTGCTAGATTCTTTTCTGTACCTTTAACTTAAAGCTCGCTCCCTGACAAAGATAGGAAGTTGTGAAGTCTGGAGTGGGCAAGGCATCATGGGTAGAGGTCACAAGTACCAGCAGGCAGGGACAGCCTGGTGTCTGTGCAGCCTGACTGATCCTGACAAGTTACTCTGAGCATCAGTTCTTCTGTCTGTAATACAGGACCTAGTGTCCTCCTGTGCACCACGCTTACATGAGCTGTATTCAGACCTGGTCCCCTGACCCCGCGGCCTCGCCCTCTTTCTTCTTCCTCAGTCTCCTCAGCCCTGAGCAACACCCTGTGCTCCTGGAATATATTGGAGAGTCCGAGGTTCACAGACAACAAGCCCACAACGCCCTGGAGAAGTACAAAGAGGAGAACGACGGCTTTGCCTCTTTCCGAGTGGACCGAGTAGAGAGGGTTATAAAAGCGGTGAGTTTTCCCTACTCCAACCTGGTGGGGGGAGCTGAGGGGCACACACCGTCTACCTGCCTCACCTGGCCAGCCGCCTTTCTGACAGTCACAGCCTTCGATGCTTGGCAAACAGCAAGGCCAATGCACAGCTTTTCTACAACTTTTGCTTGAGAGAAAATAGAAGGAGGACACACTGAACATTGTTTGAAAGGAAAAAGAAAAGAATCCAAAGGAAAGGCAAGAGCGTGATGGGGTTGTCTGAGCATTAAAAAAAACATCCAATTTTAGTCTTCTTATATTATGGTTAGAATACTGAGGCTCAAAAAAAAAAAAAAAAAAACAAAACCAAAATCCTCACCATGACCAGCATTGTCATTGACGCTGCTTCACAGACCAAGAATTCTAGTGCCTCCCACACAGAACTGTCTGGTAGAACAGCCAGTTGATGGTTGGCCTTTGTTTTGCTCTTTTTTTTTTAAAAGATTTTTATTTGCATGTGTGTGAGTGTTTGCGTATATGTATGGGCACTTTGCGTGTGCTCTGACCCCAGAGGCCAGCAGAGAGCATTGGATCTCCTGCTGTGCGTACTGGGAACTGAACTTATGTCCTATGAAAGAGCAGCAGGTACTCTTAACAACGCAGTCTTTCCCTAGTTCTGCCAAGTGTTTTGGAAAAGGAAACTCAAATAGGTCATGGTGTTTTATGCAGCGGGATACATATAATGTGGTTTTCTATGAAGAGTGTTCTAGACTCAAAGGTATTGATAAGAGAGAAAAAGCAGATTGCAGACTGCTACCTAGCATATGAGCCCATGCAAATGAAATATTTAAATATCTAAACATCCCCACATGCGGAAAAGCCTAGAAGAAGAAACACAACAAAGCAGTGGCAATGGGGTTGAGGAGATTGGTCACATGTTGAGAGCACTGACTGCTCTTCTAGAGGACCTAGGTTGGCTTCCCAGAATCTACATGGTGGCTCACAGCCATCTGTAACTCAGATTCCATAGGATCTGATTCCCTCTTTTGAACTGCTTGGACACTGCATGTACACAGAGCACCGTCACACACGAAGGAAAAATACCCCACACATAAAAACATAAATAAAGTGGAAAAAGAAAACAGTAGCAGTGACATCCCCCAAGAATGAGGGTCTGGGCCCAGGGAGGGTGCTTTTTCCCTGCTGTACTTCCACTTGTATATTAGCGTTTCTGCAAAATGGCGCTCTCTTATCACTGACGCCATATATTTTTTAAAAGCAGAAACCATAGAAAAATAGCATGCATTTGTCATTTTAATTCCCATAGTGCTTTGTGAGATATTGCATAATAGATATTTATTTCTTTTCCTCTTATCGTTTTCTGCTCCTGAAACTCTGCTGGTTCTTCTGTGCTAGAGCGGAGGGGAAAGAACCAATTACTATGTGGACTTCTCTATGCGGAACTGCTCTACACAGCATTTCCACAGAAGGCCTCCAGTAAGTATGGCACAGACCTGAGAAACATGCCATCTAGACAGTGCGCTCTACTCGAAGGGGCTCTTTCCTGTCAAACGTTCCACACATGAGTTCCCTTACCAACACTAGCACCACCACCGCAGAAGGGAAGTGCTCACATTTTCTCTGGTTTGCAGATGGGAAAATAGTTTTAGCATATACATGATGTTATATACATACACCTGAAATTGAGTTTTCAATTCATCAAGACCAAAGGCTTAGTGAACTAACAACCAGCAGGTACTATGGTCATCAACAACCGTGAATCAACCCCACGGGATGGCAAACTACAAGAGAAGAAGTGACTCTGGTTCCTGCCCCGGTCACAACCGAGCTTGGAAGTCACAGACCTGGCCCCTTTCCTCGATTATAAATCTTCACTCCCCTGTACTCAGACATGCACACATACATATGTGCATATTCACTGTCCACGCACTGACATACACTAACAGGCATCTTCTTTCACAGGTCTTTGGATTCTGCAGAGCAGTTTTGTCCTACAGTGTAGATGCCACCTACCTGGAAACCCCAGAAAACATTGACATAATCTGTAAGGAGTGTCTTTACATTCAACAGGACCACACCTACTCCAATAGGGCCTCACCTACTCTAACAAAGCCACAGCCAACAAGGCCACACCCACTCCAACAAGGCTACATCCACTCCAACAAGGCCACACCTACTCCAACAAGGCCAAACCCTCTCCAACAGGGCCACTACTCCACCAAGGTCACACCTACTCCAATAGGGCTTCACCTACTCCAACAAGGCCACACCTACTCCAACAAGGTGACACCTACTCCAACAAGGCCACACCCACTCCCAAAGTGAAACAACCACTCCAACAGGGCCACACCTACTCCAACAAGGCCACACCTACTCCAACAAGGTCACACCTACTCCAACAAGGCCACACCCACTCCAAAAGGGCCACAACCACTCCAACAGGGCCACACCTTCTCCAACAGGGCCACACCTATTTCAAGAAGGCCACACCTCCTAATAGTGCCACTCCCTGTGGGCCTTTGGAGTCCATTTTCTTTTAAACCACAAAGTCAGTAACTTCTAGAACTCAGGTTAGAGTCTAAGCAGCCTCCTCCAAAGCCATATCCTTTAACCACAGGCTGTTCTGGTTGTGAGTCTCCACTGAAAACTCCACAGTGATCCGCATCCTTCACGATAGTGCACCTTACTCACTTCCTCACCCTCCTGTCTGCTAGCTCCTCTCTTCCTTCTGCTCAACCTGGAAACTTATCTATGGTGAAGAAATATGAAGGGATCTTTATACTCTAAGAGCCTGGAACATTTGCAGGGCCTCACAGTAAGAGTTAATGATACACCTTGAAGTCTCTTAAGTCCTAAGACTGCTGTCCTCCTGTGCACTCAGTGTGTTTGTTCGATTTGCCTTCTTGAGAACAGTCAGCAACCAACTTTACTTGCCTTAGATTTCCCATGTCAGATTTTACAACCTACGCTAACGCAGAACTGTAATCTTAAATTATGTACTCATCCACGCCCCTGATACAATGTAATGCATATGTGTGTGCACATGTGTTATGATAATCATTTGCTGAAAACAGCAAATAGGTTGAAAGGGACTTAATAAAATGAGTCTCAAGCATAAATGTTGAAGGTAACATGGATATTGGCGCGATAGCATGTATTGTTTGTTATCTGGGTCATTTTGATGTCGGAGAAGCTTGAAGGAGAAGCATTGATGCTGTAAAGGATTTACGAATAAACATTCTTCAGGAAATATCAAGTTCTAGGAAGTAGAATTGAGTTGAAGGAGCGCTGCCTCTGATACGACCTCAAGGTTAGTGTACTGACCACACTTGTTAGAAACACAAAAGAAAATTTCGTGACATAATTGAGAGGGTAGTGTGTGTTGTCGTTGTAGGGAAACCTACACGTGTGGAGGGTTTGACTAGTTAACCGTGCACTGCTACAGAGGACGTGAAATAGCAATGTAATTAATGTGACAGTAATTGTACCTATTGCGTAGCTGGTGAAGGGCTGGCTCCAACAAGGAGCAAGCAAGCATTACGTCTCTAATGCTCAGTTTTGTATGTTACTCTTATTTAATAGGACCTCTGCTGAATTGATCACGTCTGTGTTTTCCTTCGCGGTTATGTAAGCCAGATGATTTGGCCACAGGTTGGAAGACAAGTCACATGACTGAGACACGTGCAGACAGGCTGCAGAAGATTTGAATAACTGCTTAGACTGGACGGCCTTCAACCTGCTGTCCCAGCTTTAACAAGATCCTCTTACCTAGGAGATTTCCTCTGGCTCCACGGTGACTCCTGAGACTCCAGCCTTTCCCAGCCCTTGCTGAAGCTAGCTCTTCCTCAGGTGTGCAGTCGTAGGACAGTCCTCTTTGTTGGCGACATGAATGGGTGAACATGCGCACTGGCTACTGCGTTCCCCTTTGTGCTTTTGTAGACGTGCAGTGGATTTGTGTAACCTTTTACAATACCTGTACTTATTATACCATATTAGAAAGTTGATAACGTACCAACCAGGAGCACATGTCTTCCTACACAATCTGCCCATAATTGATGCTTTTGTACAAAAGTTTACATTCCTGAACTAATTAGGGTCACTGCTAGACTCTTTACTCATGCAGCTAAAGAACTGAAATTTTCTTTTTGTTATTAATATCCATGACTTTGCCAGCCTTGTATAATTATGACATGACACTTAGGCTTATCTTTAGCTCTGTGTAGAACATCTCATTCTGACGTCCACAAAAATTACAATACATATAATTTATATAAACCTTCTAACTGTAGAATCTTTTTGCTTTCACATTCAACTTAGCCTGCTTCTGAACATGCCGACATTCTGTTAGTATGCTTCTGTACACATCAATTCCCGTTAGCCTGCTTCTGTACACACTGACATCCCGTTAACCTGCTTCTGAACACACCGGCATTTCATAACTAATGCTGTGTAGGTTTGTACATTGTCCTCATGTTCACAAACATAGAAACCGTTGTAATTGGCCCAGTAACGTCGCAACAGGCTAACGGAACTTGTTGTTGCTTTTAGCTCCTCTTTTATTGGTTTCTGCTCTAATTCACTGCACAATGTTGTGCAATGTTTTGGAAATGGGCTCTGCCTTCCCACATTCTTTTCAAAGATGCAAGTCAACAACCCCTGTGTTGCAATGTTCCAGCCTGAAACCTGCTTGGACAGCTAGCCGAGTCCTGTTTGTTCTCTGGGAAGAGGCCAAACAGCTTGTGACTGCAGGAATCCAAATAGGGTCCCAGTGGTCAGGCAGGGAGAAAGGAGGACTGGACAGAACAGACAGGCTGCTAAGACCAGTTGCTGAGTTAGCTTCCAGTTCTCGTCAAAACCACCCCTCTGATTCTAGAGGGAAACTTGAATCATGAAGCTAATTACTATACTGTTCCTCTGCTCCAGGCTGCTCCTAAGTTTAGCAGAGGAAGAAACCACCCAGAAAATCGACTGCAATGATGAGGATGTGTTTCATGCTGTGGACGCTGCTCTGAAGAAGTACAACGCTGGGAACCAATCTGGCAACCAGTTTGTGTTGTACCGAGTGATGGAGGGCACTAAAATGGTGAGTGACGGCTTAAACCCGAGATCACTTGTAATTCGTGCTCTCTGGCATGGGAGGAGAGGACGGGAGGTGGCCCATCCTTAGGTAAGCAAGAGTGGCTTCCTGGATGACCCTAAGAGCCGTGTCCCGGGAAGACAGAAACAGCAGCAGGTGGAGATGTTTGAAAAGAATAAGGCACAGGGCAATCCAGCAACTTAATCAGCCTTGGGTCTGTGAACTCAATGACCTCCCAGTCTTAAGTGAGAATTGTGCATGGGGCTGAATCAAGGGAACAGGAAGAGAGTTGTCATAGTTGCCTTCGACCTAGGGAATACCACCAAGTGTGTGTAGCTGATTCTTCGAGGTTTATAACAATGTATACATTAGTTTTCTTCAGTCTTGGAGGATGCAGGGAGGTTGAGGCAGGGTGTCAGGCAGCCTCAGACTGACCACGAGCTTGCTATGGTGCTGCTGATAGACGTAAACTTTTCATCTTCCTGCCTGCATCTCCAAGTGCTTTGATTATAGGCATGTGCCTCCATGCGAGGTTTATGTGGTGCCAGAGATTCAAACCCAGGACATGCTAGGTAGGCAAGGGCTTCACCAGCTACTTCTCCAGTCGGTTTCGGCTAGATTTGACTATGCTTTCATTTCTGCCTTAGTCCACTCAGGCAGGAGGCAAATGCAGGCAGGATTCACAAATCAGAGAAAAACAAAATCATCAAGAGTTTTAAAAATAGCTGGGTGAAAGCCGGGCAATGGTGTGCATGTCTTTAATCCCAGCACTCAAAAGGCAGAGGCAGGTGGAGCAAGTTTCAGTACAGTTAGGGCTGTTACAAAGAGAAAACCTGTCTCGAAAAAAGCAAGATAGATAGATAGATAGATAGATAGATAGATAAATAGATAGATAGATAGATAGATTAATAACAGAAAGATGATAGATAGGTAGGTAGATAGATAGAGATGGATAGATTAGATAGATAGATGATTGATAGATCGATAGGTAGGTAGATAGATAAAGATTGATAGATTAGATTAGATTAGATAGATAGATGATAGATAGGTAGATAGAGATTGATATATATAAAATAGATAGATAGGAACATCCGGAGAGATCGCTCAGAGGTTAAGAGCACTGCCTGCTCTGCCAGAGGTCCCAAGTTCAATTTCCGGCCACCGAAAGTAGTTCAGTACCGTCTATCAGCGCCCTCTGCTGGCCTGCGGGCCGACACTCAGACTTCCACTATCCAGAGTAGATTGATCCATATCAATAATCGGAAAAAATAGATAGACAGACAGACAGACAGACAGACAGACAGACAGACAGATAGATAGATAGATAGATAATAGATAGATAGATGATAGAGGAATGGATAGATAGATAGATGAGAGATGAATGGATAGATAGATAGGTAGATAGATAGACAGACAGACAGACAGAGTTCACAGACTAGAGAGGTGGTCGTTGGTTCAGGGCACTGACTACTCTAGTAGAAGACCTTGGTTCAGTTCCCAGAACCCATGGTCATTCAGAACCATCTATAACTCAGGATCTGGTACCTCTTTTGGCCACAATAGGTACCAGAAACACATGTAGTATATGTACATATATTCAGCGAAATACTCACACACATTTAAAACTTTTAAAAAAATGTAGAAGCTTTTAAAAATATACAATATAATAAATTTTACTTTTAAAGACTCTTCTTTGGATTGGTCAAGTTCCTGCAGCAGGAGAAAATCCAATAATTTGACATGAGAATAAAAAGAAACCCTAATGGACGTAGACTTGTTTGTTTTCGAAGGTAAAACGAAGCCTTTATTTCTCGCTACAGCACAGCTCACATTCCCCCACCCCCACCCCCGACGCTCTGGGCCACTGTGCACTGCTGTCTCCATTGGATGATGGACGGGTACACGGGAGTTTGTTCTACAATGTCCCTGTAGTCGGCTTCCCCTCCCGGACACTGGGGGTCCAGCCCAGGGTACATGTCACCCA